CTCTGATGAAGATGCTGCTCTTGCTCATCTCATTGCAGACTGGAGAAACTCTCAATTGCATGACCTTGAGGTAACTATTCCTTCACCTATTCCCTCACCCCCAAGAGCCTCTACACCTATCCCCTCACCAATCCTTAAATCCAACTCACCCTCACCCAGCAGAAGGCCACATCCAAACCACCCACACCCTATGCCTCGGCTGATGCATCTCTACACCAACAAAGCACCCAATCTACTCCCCCAATACTTCAGAAAACTCCATCCCCCAAACAACCATCATCACAGAAAGCCTCAACCCCAAAGAAATCCCCATCTCAGAACCCCTCTCCTTGCAAACAGCTGAGCCCACAACGATCCAGATCACACTCCCCTCCACCCCCTTCACCTCAACATCAACAACAACAGGGTAGCAACAGCTCTGCTGACCCCAAAACAATCTCTGCCACACCAGCCCCTCAGGGTTACACCAGGCATTCAAATGCTTCCAACCCTCCCATCCACAAGAAACAACAAGTCAACAGAGATAAAACTCCTTACTACTCATCTTATGAGAACTCCTCTGATGACAACCTCTCTGCTCCAGCCGGTTTCCTGTACAGCAACCCCAATGCTGCTACTTCTAAGAGACAGAAGACCCCTTCTCTGACACAGTTTGAGCATGAAATGCAAGATCAACATCTCTCTTCTGTGCACGAGCATCGGCCATTGCCAAGGAATCAAGGGTTGAATCTGCCAGGGATTGATCATGCTGCACCAGAGATCCCCTTCCATCAGTTTGTCACCTCGGCAGAAGAGTTTGGTGGACAAATGTTGGATGGGATGAACAAACTCATCTTGATCAATGACAAGCACTACGAACATCTCACTCTGACCAATCAAAACCTTGAACTGGGCCTCCAACACATATCTGCACAGGTTGCATCTATAACCAAGTCTCTGGGCTCATTCATGGACTCCTCTACTGCCAGAGTAGAAGCACTCTCCAAGGAAGTTGAAGGTATCAATTTTGTACTTTTCTCACACTCCAACACCCTGGATAAGCAGAATGAAGCCATCAAGGAAATCTCTGAATCCATTGACACTCTACAATGGTATGCTGATCAATCTTCTGAGAGATTTGAAGAAATCCAGACTCTCTGCGCAGATCATAAGAAGCTCAGTTTGGACCTCCTTCAGAAGGATAAGGAGCGCTACCAGAAGCTCACTCTACTCGAAGCTGGTCAGAAGGACATTGCCTCTAACATCCTGAAACAGCAGGAATTGATTGATGGACTGGCATCTGTCACTCAGACCCTCCCAGAGACTCTTGAGCACATTGCTACTTCTCAGGCCTCAGGCTTTCAGTCCTTAGCGTTGCTCATTGCAGATTCCCATGATGCCAAAAAGGGGGAAGAGACTCCTCACTCCAAACAGATGCAACGTGCCAGATCAACTCCTGATCCTTCTCCTTATTTTGAGCAGCTCAAGTTAAGAAAGAAAGCTGATGCTACTGGCTCCTCAGCTGTGCCACCTATCCCCATCCCTCTGAAGAGAGGAACCAAGAAGAAAGCTCTAACTCTCTTGGACTGGAGAAAAGAAGGATCTCTGAAGATTACTCCAGCCCAATTTGAGGAAATAAGGAAGAAGATGACTCCTACTCAACAGTTGAACACCTACCATGCCCCTGATGGGTCACTTGGAGTCAAGCGTGGTGGATCTTTTGAAGAAGCTGAATACTGGTATTCAAGGAATGTGCTCCCAGGTAAGGATGCAGATGAAGCTGTTCTGCACTATCTAAATAATAAGCTTGCACCCATTTGGGCTTCACACCAACAATCTGGGCACTTGGCAAAGATAAGAGATGAAGTGAATGCACAACTCAAGGCCTATGATGAACAAGAAGCAATTATGCTAAGAGCAGCCTTGGGAGAAAATTTGTAATTGAACATTCCTGTACTTCTCTTAACCCTTCTGCTCAATAAAGTCTTTTGATTGCTTCTTTTCATTGCTTACTCTTCTGTTTCATTGCTTTATGTTATGTTTTTTTGTTCTTGCTTGTTAGTCCTTGCTAATTTCTATGCTAAGCTGCCCGCCAAGAATAAATTTCTTTTATTACTTTTTATTTGGTGAGAGGCACTTCTCTGAAAATAGATTAAGGGTTTTGGCATCATCAAAAAGGGGGAAATTGTAAGGAATAATTGTACTTAGATTTTGATGATGCTAGGATAGATTAGAATGATAGATTATCCCCTCTGTATTCTTTGTTTTAGATTTTGGTTCAGAGTATAAGCTTTCTGTGTTTGGTCGTAGACAGAAGGGCTCAAGCCCCTCTGTTAGCTAATCGTGGCAGAAGTATTCTGATGCTCTGCCAAGATTTCAGACGGACAGAAGAGCTACAGACCCTCTGGCCACATGACTTTCAACAGAATACCTCTTGGCTCTCTGGAACAGAAGACCTCAAGAGCTCTGCTGGTTACTTGTCTTGGAGAAGTGCTTAGAACTCTCTGCTAGATACATCTCTGGCAGACCCTCTGGTAAACAATTCAACAGAAACCCAAATACTTAAGCAGAATGCAAGCTACCAGAGTTCTTCATGTAAATGGAAGATTCCCTCAACGGCTACCTCATCCTCAACGGAAAAGCTACTGTACACGCATTAAATGCACATTTAATGCATCCCGTACGCTGAAGTTATACAGCTGATGATTGACCGAGTTTCCTGGAAAGTCTATCCTAAAATAGCAAGCCGCCAAAACTTCGGGTCCCAACTGGTCAACTCAAACAGCACACGCATTCAATGCATTTGTCTCCTCCTCCAACGGGAAGACAAACCTAGTATAAAAGATACTACTCGAAGAACAATGAAAACTCTCTTGCTCAAGAAAATAATATCTAAGCTCACGTAGATAAAACCGGTTCATCACCCACAATACGGAGCTAACGTTGGAAAGATTATCACTTTCATATTCATTCATCCAACTCAAGAGTAAAAGTTCATATAGCTCTTCGACCCTTCAAGCACCTCATTGCAAACTATCTGTGACGAAGCAAGTTGGAGAAGAACTCTGTTCTTAACAGAACATCTTCTTAAAAAGAAGGACGTCTTAAAGTAGCTCGTGTAGTGAAGTGGTAATACTTCAGGGAGACTGAGTGAAACAAGACCAGTCTTAAAGGAAGCAAGGAAGTGCATCCCAGGAGACATCTAGACTTGAAGAAGACGTGGAGAGCTTCTTAAGTTCTAGGAACTAAGGTGTTGTAAACGGACGTTTTTACAAGCTTAGTGGAACAGTGGATTAGAGGAACGAGTTGTTCCTGGAACCACTATAAAAATCCCTGGTGTCGTTTTAATTTTTGCTTTCTTTATTTACTTTACTGCTTAACTCCATAGAAGTGGTATCTGTGTTCAGCAGAACACCTCTTGAGAGTTAACAGAAGGCCAAGTGCCTTTGCTTCTCTGTGAGGCTAACCCGACAGAACACCTGCCAAAAGACTATCCGCTGCAAGTCTGTTCTTAGCTGAACGGACTATTCTGTTACTTTCATTGTCTTAACTTAAAAGTTTTTAAACCTTAATAGTCTATTCACCCCCCCCTCTAGACTATTACCTCTCTAACCGGGACCAACACTTATGATCAACCGAACGGGTCATAAAATTTGAAAAAACGGGTACCCAGACAGAATCGTTTTAAAATATTACTGTATTTTAATAATTTCTAAAATATTTAATACTAGTATAATATAATATACTAACAATACACGAAAGCTTTTCATGTTCTTGTGTTTAGACAAAGACTTCTAATTAAAGAAACTTCTCAGTCTATTAAAAGTTAAAACTAGTTTCCATGTCCATATAATTAAACTCTTAAACTATTTTCCTCTCTTCCAAATGCATCAAACTTTCTTTCTTTAATATTTTTGTAAATAAAGACTCTTACTCAATGAAGTGTGACATATTAATTTAATTTTCTTAATTATACTTATACTTGAAGATTTATTAAGCTTTAAATTATTTCATAGACAAATATGTATAGTAACTATTTTTAGTTTTTATGAATTTATGGTCATGTCTTTTTAATTGGTTTATGAACAATGATTACCATTTTAATTAAGTTGATTGTGTGTTGTTTAATTTATAAATTTGTGCTTCGATATTTTGTTAACTAATTTAATATGTTGTCTTATACGTTTATTTTGAATAAATATTATATTATGGTTACATTAATATGTAATTAATTTGAGAATTTTATAACTTATTAGAAACTTTGCTTGCATAGTCGTACTTTTTTTTTACAAAAAGGAATCAAGGACTCGGACCGAACCGGCCCGTTTCAAATGGGGCGGGCAAGGTTCGATTTCTATTTTGGAAATTGGTATACCCGAACCGAACCTACCCGCTAAATGGAACCGGCGGTTCTTGAAAATTTATCAATTACCCGGACCGACCCGAACCGCGCACACCCCTAGTTTCATGTTTGAAAAGATCAAAATAAAATGGGAGATAAAGATGGGGAATTATGGAGAGAAGGAAATGGGGAAGAGTATGGCTCATGCTAAGCAGCCAAAACAGAGCCGTTATTTAGGCGATTAAATAGGTTATCCAGAACATGACCACCGATTTATGGGCCCCAATTTTTTTTTTTAAATATTAGTATTATATAATAATAATACTTCATATATTAATACTAATCAGTAAAATGCAATTAGTAAGGAAGAACATCTCAATTTTCTTTTAGTATTGATCATTTTAGTTTTCTTTTAGCTTACTCAAATTGCTTGAATAATGGAGTTTAGTTGTTGTAAACCAAGTATCAAGTAAGTTTTAGATTTTTTTACTACATTATTTGATGAGTATTCAATTGTATAAGTATTTGGATTGAGATTTTTTCTTAATTTTTATATTAATGTAACCATGTGGGCTTCGGTTTTACATTTGAACCGGGACATCAGAATTGATTAGACAAGTAACAACTTGATGCTTTCAAAAGCAAAACCGTTACAAACGAAAAGAAACAAAATTAAACATGTCCAACTCCATCCATCAATTTTTTTTAACAGATTATACAAAGCCATTGCAAATATATCCAATATTGATAAAATTTAGCAATCATCCACTATTCTTTTGACAATGAATCTGAAACGTATACAAAAGAGAACATCAACATCCAGAATTCCAGATTAATATGATATGACATAATGCGAAAGCAAAAAACTTCAACATCATCTAGTCTAGTTTAATACGGAGTAATTAATATAACCATATAGCATACCCTGGTTTGAACTTTGAAGAAACATCAACATCTAGTTCTGCAGAAGCACGCAAAGGACACAAAGTGAAAGTATACCATACAACACTTCAGTTATTAAACTACAAGTCCTTTAACTCTTTGTTTCATTGAATTGGGCCAAGAACTCTGTAAATTCCTTGAGTATTTCATCCATATTTGGCCGCGCCATAGGATCTTTATTACAACACTTTGTTCCCAGATGAAACAGGAAGTTCTGCTGCCTGACTACCTTGCAGTCATAAGATTTGTATCCCTTCCCTGTTAAATAGGCTTTTGCTACCCAATCAGCAAAACCTAATGCAGTTTTCTTCTCCACACATTTTGCCATTAACAACTCCAAAAGCAAAAGCCCAAGTGTGTATACATCAGTCGTGAAACACCACTTTCTTTCGATCACCATATCTGCAAACATATTATTACTTCCCAACACTATAAAGCACATACAAACGCACAGAAATCACTATCCTGAAATATTCATGACAACATACATACACAGGGAAAATTGATGATTTGATCCCATACAGCCATACTTCATGTTTTATTAAACAAAAAGGTGTTGCACATTATGTTTGTGCACATTATTAATCCACTAACAAATTAGTGCACCACATTGAGGACTTTTCACCATATGAACTATTTTAACAACTAATTTTGTGTCAGTGCCAGTTTTTCATTAAAGTTTTGCCATAAACAGTCATAGTTATCACGGCGGTAAGGTGAGTCGCGGCGCCAACCGACCGCCATATCGCCTAGGTGACAAGGCGCCCGCGTAGGCAACAATTAGGCGACTAGTCGCACGTTATATAAATTTATAATATATTATATATAATTATATACATAATTACATATATAAATATATATAATATTCTATTTGATTACATTTAGTTTGCAAGTTATTATCTATCATAAGTGCACATTATTTACTGTATTATTCAATCTAAAATCTGAATATATTAATATACTAAATAAACTGCTATAAACATATGTTTATGAAACACAACAAAAGAAGAACCTACATTTTTATAAAAGATCTGCTATATACGAAGTAAATTAATATAGTATATAATACATAGTACTCCCTCCGTCCCCTTTTAAAAGTCCCAGAAGAGGGTGGCACGAATTTTAAGAAAAGTGGGTTTGTGACTTTGTGTGGTTGATATTAATTGATAAAGTAGGAATAAAGTAAGAATAAAGTAAGAATGATTTTGAGCCACACATACTTTACCAAATGAGGTATGGGACATCCCAATATGGTAAAATGGGACATTTATTTGGGGACGGACGGAGTATAAGATTTCTTTTGAGTCCCACTAGGCCACTTCCCACTGCCAAAAAAGAACACTTGTCCACTTGCAGTATGAGATAAGGTAGTAAGTACACTGGAAGAGAAAATAAGCTCGCACTATTCTACTGCTAGAAGAAACGGATAGAACAAGTAACTAAAAATAAAAAACAAAAACACCAGATTAACCCATAAAACCTGGGAGCGATGTCAGATGCTAGACTTCTTTCCCGCGAGGCTGCGACGGGAGTGGTATGGGACGAAGGTTGAGTTTACGAATGGTCAAGTAAGATTTGGGCTTTATTTTAGTTGTCTAAAACTTTGTTTCCAAACTATAAATCTGGGCCTTCAGTTTGGACTGCGAAACGGACGACTAAACGATGACAGGAGGACGCCATAGTCGCCTATTCTTCTTCCGGTGAGGCGACGGCTCTTGGCGACCCCTTTCTAGACGCCTAGTCGGCGCCTAGGCGACGCCTAGACGACGCCGTAACAAGTATGTAAACAGTACATTTTGGTGGAAATGTCTTTAATGTTGACAAAGTTCATGCTCATAGGACATGATCTCTTATAAAAAATTGCTTAATGTGAATAGAGTAACATAGCTAATATTAGACACAAAGTTAGGGGGACTAAACCAGCATATATTCCACACATGTGTGCACATAATCACATATATCATTTATCAAATCTGAAATATCTTACAACGAGCTTCCGGGGAAAAATAATTGTATGCTCCTATGCAAATTCTATCCTCATTTGCAACCATCGCAGAACGACCAAACTCGAACAATTTTATGTTGTAATCCTGCATTGAGTGGCAGAGAGTAGTTCAAATGAATGCTAAACTTCGTTACACTAGACATATACATGGAGTGCGAGGGAAAAAGGAATCAATCCCACCTCATCAACACTAATGTTGGGCGCAGCAAAGGTGCAAAATGCTATTCTTCGTTGGTGAAAGAACTCTAGGGTTTCAACAACTTGCTTTGCCACTTTCATCCGAGCTTTCCAAGAGAAGGTACCTATGAATGAGAACACGAAAAAGTAAATAATAAAATCATGACATCAACCAAAATATACAACTACTCATGTGAGAGGGCCACGTACGAAGAGGAATGAGATCCCATAGAGTATGTTTTAGGTTCACATCATAGACAAGAGCAAATGTCTTGTCACATGAGAACCCGATCAACTTCGCTATATTAGGATGTGATGAGAAATGCGGGTCGAGCATAAATTCAAGGAGCCACTGCAATGCCACAAATAGCAAACCACACAATCCATTTAGATTAACTTCAAATTGCATGATAAGAAATTTGTTAACAGAGTCACAATATATAAGCTCACTTACAGCAAAATAAGTTGGATTTGCCTCAATCCAGCGATCAAGCGGAAAGTAGAAATTCCATTTTTTAACAATGACATCCTGAGGGCCTGACCGTTCATTAATCTTTCCTCTGTATAGTCGGGCAAATAAGACGTCTTTTACATAGTTTTTCTCTGAAAACCCGCCAATGATATCAATCACCTTATCATAGCTAAAATGCTTCACACTTCCCAAGTCTATCCCCTCAATTGGATTCCTAATACAAGAAGACACACAAAGAATAATCAACATACAAAAGAAATAGAGTACAATATTTGAGGAATTAAAATGAGAATCACCCCATTTTCTCAGTCTTGTCAAAGCTGCTCTGTAATGAGCGTGTCAGCATATCATGTACTAGGGGGCACTTGAACTTCTCCCTCCGGAACACATACATATGAACATCCACCTTCTTCAGCTTCTCTATGAATTGGCGTATCTCTTCTTCGTCACTATTTAAGACGCTACCCGAGATTAATTGTCTCTTCTCATTGCTGCTTTCTGCGGTATCATCGCAGCTTCTCTTCATACCGTTGCTTTCTACCCCAACGTGTTGGCCAGAAACTACGGATTCCGGTTGCTCCATTCCCTTTGCCCCCTGTCTCTGAGTCAAGAGATTACGTGGTTCTTGCACCTTAAGCAGTGAAAGATAAATTTCAAATACGAGCATCAAGGATAAAAATGATAAAACAATCTCTACCCTAAATTAGATGTCGCTCTTGCACAAACCGAACAAAAAAGACTACCCAATAGAATTATCCAAGACAGGTTTGATTTTAAAAATGGAAGATAATCATAATCGGGTTCTTCAGTGCCTTGGGTAGTTGGGATGATTCTTGAATTCAATGAGATGAATGTGTTTAATCGTAATAGGCAAATTTAATGGATGCTGGTGATCAGTCTCTGTTGGAACGCTCCGAATTTCTTGGGGTGGCAGCAGTCCGCAAATTTGCTAAGATTTCGCATCATTCTGCTGATTATGTTTGTCAATTCTTCCCAACTGGTAGGCATGGCAATGGGTCGGAGCGGGCGGGTATTGCAAGACCCGGACCTGCCCCGTGACTTGGCGGGGCGGGTCATGGGTCAACAAGTCCGCCCCGCCCCGTGACCTGCACGGGTCTAAACTAGTTTTTATTTTTATTTGTAGGAAGTTATTACCAATTGAATCTACATAATGTTTATCTCTAAATAATAATTAAAACTCAATATATTAAATCAATTTCATGATACGCTAAAAATTTCAAAAATTAAGAAAAAATTACTCAAACTTGAATAGTTAATCTAATTAGTTATATTAATAATTGAATAAATGTATAAAAATTCTATATATATATAAAGAAGACATTGATAATCCGTCGTGCATCTCATTCTAATATATTCAAAGAATTTATGATTTATTGTATACACACATATGTATGTTGAAGTATATTTGTAGTATTAGTTAAGAAAAAGTATGTATATTTATATATTGAGCGGGTCGGGTCGGGGCGGGTCGGGGCGGAACGGGTCAATTCTAATACCCGAACCCGCCCCATTGTATAGGCGGGGCGGGGCGGACCCGCCCCATTTGCAAGACGGGGCGGGGCGGACCCGCCCCAAATGTCTCGGGCCAGGGCGGGTCATTGCGGGTCGGGTTTTTCTGACATCCCTACCAACTGGGCCAACTACAGACCCAATCAGGACTAACTTTTTTACTATTGATTGTTTTTGCATCTTTTGTTTATCTACTAACCAAATGCTAGAGTATACGTTACATTCTACACTAATCATTTTATTTGTGAAAGTCTAGATCTCTAGCTAGTGGAATGCTATTATCATTTTCTCATTGATCACATAAAAAAAGTTAAAAGAAAAAAGATGAAATCGATGTTCACTTCAAATGTAAAGAGCAAAGCTCACAATCAAGGGAAAGAACTTTGCATGTTGGCCCTAGGGGTGTGCACAATTCTGTAATTGAACGAATCAAATCGATTCCGAAATTTCGCTACGTACCAAATACCGAATAGAAATTTCGGTTCAGTAATCGGTACGTATAATTTTGAAAATTATAAGTATTCGGTTTGGTATATATATATAGGTATTTTGGTTTTGAGTATGTACCGAATGCCGAAATTTATAAAATAATAAATATTAAATATATACTCACTCAGTATTCTAAAGTTTGCTACACTTTCCTTTTTGGGATGTATTTAAAAGTTTGCTACATTTTCCCTTTTTGGTAAGTTTTTTCCTTTAAAATACTCAACTATCATTACTTTTTCCACTTTTTATCTTCTCTTTCATACTTTTACACATTCTCTCCTACATTTTCTACATTATTCATTACCTCTACTATTTTATCATAAAACTTTCTGCCCAAACCTAATGTAGACAAAAACTAAATACGGAAGGAGTAATATATTTATGGGAGATATACCTAAATAGGACTAAATAAAAGGATAATTGTAACAATAGGAGTATAAAGTTCAAATTTCCAAAATAGGACTAACTCTTCCTATTTTACCCTTTCCTTTGTCCTTCCTAATAGGATTTTTTAAACAATCATTATAAAATATAAAAAATTCAAAATAAAAAAAATGAAAAAGTTATTAAAAAATATACAGACCTTAACTACCACCTCAGCCACCTTCCAGCACCGCCACCTCCGGTTGCCGGAAAAGATTGCCAAGTTGGGGAAAAATGTCATCGTGATAGCAATTTTGAAGAGGAAAGCAAGAGAAAGCTGGATATTTTCAAAGAGTAAAAACGCCATATTTATGGCATTTTCAGATAAACATGGCATTTTTTACACAAGATGGCATTTTTTTCCAGCGACCGGAGCTGGTGGTATTGGGAGGTGGAGGATGTGTTGGCAGTGACCTACATATTTTTAAATATTTTTTTTAGGTATTTTATTTTATTTGTTAGACTTTTTAAAAGTTTTTTAAATATTTTATTAATTTTTTTTATTTTTTCACGTTTTCATTATTAATTTATAAATATTTTATTATTTTTTATATTTTTATTATGAATAAAACTATGATTTTCTTATTAATAAAATAAATCTATTGAAAATTATAGGAAAGGGGTAGAATGGAAAGAAGAGACATATATTAGTCCTACTTTGGGAATATAAGGATTGTACTCCTATTGTTGAATTTCAGGCTAATTTTAGTCCTATTAAGGGCTAATACCCGTATATTTATATATTTTAGCCATGAATATATAAATATTTATATATTTATATACTCCCTCAGCTCCGTCCCTAAAACAAGTTCCTAGATGAATTTCACACATATTAAGGAAATAAATTTACTAGGGGGTAAGTTTTACTGTTTCAACACTGTTTCGATACTTTTTGACATTGTTTTGCAGTGTTTGACACTATTTGGCATTGTTTTGATTTAGATAATTTTCCAAAAAAAAATGTAATGAAGTGAGAACTTAATTAACAAACTACCCAAAAAGGAAAGGTGAAACTTGTTTCATGGACGGAGGGAGTATATATTTCATTATGTATGTTAGAGCAAGAATTTGACAGTTTATGTTGCATTAAAGGGGGTTGATCACAGAAGTTAATGAAGCTTAATGATGGCTGTTGTAACGGATTTGTGTTTATTATTGTAGCTAATAACGATATTAAGGCAGAAGGTTACTTATTTTGATCTGGCTAGCATTAATGACGAGTTGTGAAACCGTCGGGTCAGAACCGTCAAGTCAAACCGCCAATAACAGACAACTAGAGTTGATGAAGAGTCCAAGAATCTCATTTTTAAATATTGTAACGTTTTTTGTACATTATTAGGCTCTTTAATATGATTGATGAAGATATTAATTGTAATTGACCGGCCTTTATGACAGATTTGAAATCGTCATAAAGTACGATCAACCTATCAGTAACGTACAAAGCCATCATAAGAGCATTAATTACCCTTCCTATAAATACGATATCCCTCATTGTAATCATAAGCTGCTCACATTCGAATAATACACAAGTTTTCACGCTTATTCACTCTCTTGTCATCTTCTTCTTTACTCTTGTTCGAAACTCATTCTTCATATAAACTCCTTTTTAATTGGTTTTAGCTTATCAATATTTTGCTTAAACACAGTATCATATATTTATATAAATCATATATTAGCAAGCAGAAGCAGCCTGAGGAGAGACTAAATATGTGAATGTTTTTCCAGATTAGATGGGAAAGAAGAGATGCTGGAACTGTGTACGTTTGTTGTATGGTTTGAACATGGTATTACAAAGCTGAGTTTAATTCATGCATTAATTTTTTAGACATGAGTTTTTGAATACGCATATGATATGTATAATTGGAACTTGATGCATTTGTACTTCACAGTTGCGGGTTGTGTTCATTTTGGTTCCTATTTTCGTCACAATTGAGTAATCCGTGGAGGTGTGGAGCTGTCCTAGTGTTCTGCGACCTTAAGAATGCTCCATGTAA